GGTTGGTTGGTTGGTTGGTTGGTTGGATGGTTGGTTGGTTGGTTGGATGGTTGGTTGGTTGGTTGGTTGGTTGGTTGGTTGGTTGGATGGTTGGTTGGTTGGTTGGCTGGTTGGTTGGTTGGCTGGTTGGTTTGCTGGATGGTTGGTTGGTTGATTGATTGGTTGGTTGGTTGGTTTGTTGGATGGTTGGTTGGTTGGTTGAATGATTTGTTAATTAACTGTAATAGCATAATAGATCATTATCATTCTTCGCCATCAGCATCATCATCATCATTATCATCACCTTCTTCTTCATTTTTTGTTTATTTTTCAAGTCGCTTTCCGTTAAAACACTTACGGAAAATTTAATGTTTGAAGATGACAAGTGAACGAACGAACGAACGAACGAATGAATGAATGAATGAATGAACGAACGAATAAACGAACAAATGAATGAATGAACAAATTAATTTATTAAAAAGAATTAATACGCAAACTAAATGAATAAAAGAAAAAAAAATGGATGAACGAATGAATGAATGAAAGAAAAAGATGAATGAATGAACAAATGAATGAATGAAAAAAAAAGGAAATAAAACAAATGGATGAATAAAATAAATGGAAGAATGAGTAAAACCAACTAATGAATGAATGAATGAATGAATGAATGAATGAATGAATGAATGAATGAATGAATGAATGAATGAATGAATGAATGAATGAATGAATGAATGAATGAATGAATGAATGAATGAATGAATGAATGAATGAATGAATGAATGAATGAATGAATAAAATAAATTGAACGTGACAAAAGATAAACCGGACATCAAACCGCGCCATTATTCATTCTAGTTTAATCTTCATATGGGCACCTTTCTTTCATTCGTTACATTCGCTCCATTCACTTGTTCTTTCAGTTGTTCAATCTTTTCTTTTTTTACTTTGTACATTCATTTATCCATCTGTCCATTTATTCATCCATCCATCCATCCATCCATGCATTTAAACAATTATCAATTCATCCATCCAAACAATCATCCATTTATCCATCCATTCATTTATCTATCCATTCATTCATTCATTCATTTATCCAATCATTCATTCGCCCACTCATTCATTCACCCACTCATTCATCCGTCCACCAATCAGAATAGCGGGATACGAACCGACCTTTGAACTCCTGCAGCGAATCTTCTGGCCACTAAACCACCTCACCCAACTTCTCACCGTCTGGGCACTGGTTCTCGTCGGAGCCAACAGGTTATTATTGCTGTTGTTGTTGTTGTTGATGCTGTTGTTGTTGCTGCTGTTGTTGTTGATGTTGTTGTTGTTATTGTTAATGTTGTTGTTAGTAGTAGCAGTTGTAGTAGAAGTAGTAACTGTTCTAAAATTCTTGACATTTGAAACATTTAAAATTCTAAACATTTGAAATATCGCCGATCGGCTTATATAACCCTAACAACTTTCATCAACTAATTTTTTTTATTTTTGTTTTGTTTTGTCTTGTTTTTTTTTTTGTCCTTTTGTTTTTGCTGTTTGGTCTTTGTTCCTTGGTTTTTGAAATCAATGAAAGCGATGAAAAGAGTACTTGAAGCAGTTAAAGATACTAGGACGCAACAACCGGCAGTTCGACGCTTAAATATCAGATCTAAGTAAACAAATAAGAGAAAAATATCGTTAGAAAAAAACGGTGAAAATAAAAAGATAAATACCACATCACATACCAACTGAAGCATAAATTCTGGGCGACAAGCCAAAATATATTCCAACAAACTAATGATGTGCAGCCTTCACTGGATTCTTCTGCTGAGACGCAGTTGTAGCATCATCGAAATGTAATTTGAACCAATTAGCAGTTGTAGTATCATCGAAATGTAATTTGAAACAATTTATTAATGTTGTCAAAAATTTGTCTTCTGTATCTCAATCGATCGCGAGTGGCTGTCAAAAAATTGTTATTGATGTTTCTGTTTGGTAAATAAAAACACGTAAATTTTTCTGGATGTTGTTTAGAGATAGTAAAATGATATAGAAGTCTTTAGGAGTGGCGTTTTTGTTCGTCTTCTATAGGATCTTTCTCAATGAGTTCTTCATTGTCCAAAAAGTTACGTCGTGTTTCTTAAAATGTTTGAATTTTATTACTTCTCGTACGAAGCCTGGCATTGGTGTCACGTGTCTGGCGAAGGTCGTCGAGACATTCCAAATCGATCCAAAGTCGTACACCAAGAGTGCACTGATTGGCTTTTCTTTCTTCTTTCACGTAAATGTACTGGATAACTTCGTCTGGAACTTTCCAAGTAACTGTTAAGTGCTTTTTTTTGCTACTTAGGCTAGTTATAACTTCTCATTGCTCAAAATTTTTCTTCAGTTTTTCGCAATTCTGGTAATCGACGTTGCGATATGAAGAAGGAGAAAAAATTCTGTTAGCGCAGGCTTTGATTGCCCTTTTTTCTAATTTTTTGTAGTCTTATTTTTCTGCTGTTTGGTCGTAAAACTAATTGCAAGGCGATCTTCATTTGTGACTTCTTCATTCGGTCTGCCAAATCCGCCAATCTGCTGGTGAGTTTCACTCGAAATCTTTTTCATTTCGCAAGCGTTGTAAAATTCTTTATCTGCCTTCGCTTTGTAATATTTACAAAAAGACCAGTTTCATTAAATTTAATATTTTACTGTAAATTCCAAACTTTTTTTTACAGATTTTTTCTTTGTCTCGGTAATCTAAAAAAACTTTCTTCCAATTTCATTTCTGCCTTGACTGCGTTATTCATGGGGCGTTGCATGAAATTTGAAAAATTATTTTTGGCTTGGAAGGCAAAGGGCTCGGTAAGGTGACCACATTTGACCTCATGAGCAGGCATATAAAGTGATTTACAGTCATCGGTGGAGACAGAAATAGGAAGTGGGGTCCTTCATGGCTTAGTACTACACCCTTTTCACTTCATGTTATATACTTTAAGTATAGCCAATAAAATGAAACAGGTGGTTTGTCGTGTATACTCGTACACTGGTGACATCCAGGTTACAACCAGGGCTGATGTTGGGTTGGTGTCAGAAAAAGTCATGCACCTGAAAAACTGGTTAGGTAGAAATTAAATGGAGATAAAACGCAAATTACGCCGGTTGGAACTAACTCAACAGCAGCTTTCAAAGATTGACGTAATAAGGGGGTGTTAAAAATAGGTCGCTGATTGTGCCAGTATCGGGAATGATTTTTGGTTGGACAGGGTTGGACATTACTTTCAAGGTTCTGTTAACGATGCGAAGATATTGCAAAGGTGCAGTCCAACCGCTAAACTTTATAGGATAACATCATTTGTGCAGGATAACATCATCTGTGGAGGGAAGGAGGATTTTGGGATCTGTCCAGACCCTGTACTACGGCTGTACCTAAAAGCAGAATCTGTTCACATCCTATTTTCAGGTACCACGGCTGAAACTGTCGATGGTCTCAAAAAGTATTCCAGCGTATGGCCTAATGATGTGGAATAGTTTGCCAAAAAAGTTAAAAAGAGATAAATTGAAAAGGCAGTTTTCAGAAAAAAACTCGAAGCAATTTTGTGGTAATAAGCCTACACGAGGACATGAATGAGCGCGTTTAAACTCTACTTGACAGAAATAACAAATAATTTGGTCATCAACATTTCCCTCTCATATTACCGTGTTATTGAAAAAATCTCTAAAAAAAGTTTTGAATTCGACGGTTGTACATTCTGTTAAATTATTATTATTATTATTATTACTGTTATTATTATTATTATTACTGTTATTATTATTATTTTTATTGCTACTAATTTTTTAAATATTATCATCCTAATAAGATATTTGGCTGTTTGTAAACCACTCCATACAAGACGTCTGTGCACCAAGAGGAATGTTAGGAGGCAGGTTGGTTGGTTGGTTGGTTGGTTGGTTGGATGGCTGGTTAGTTGGTTGGTTGGTTAGTTGGTTAGATGGTTGTTTGGTTGATAATTTAGTTTGTTAGTTAACTGGTTATCTTGTTGGTTGGTTGGCTACGTTTAATAATTTGATATGCCGCAACCATAAAACATCACCACGCAGATTGTTGTGATGACATTGCTCTTGGTCGTCTATAACATTCCTCGAATATTCGAATTTGATAACAACAACAACAACTATAATTCCGGCATCATTAACAACAACAACAACAACAACACCCCCAACAACAACATCAGCAACAGCATCAACATCAAATACAACAATAACATCAATAACAACAACTACATTTTACACGGAAACAACAACACGAATTTTGCATCCATCTCAATTGGCCTGGTCTCGAATCAAATGTACAACAATATTAACATCAACAACAACGGCAACAACAACACAATCAACAACAACAACAACTCTACTCTATCGACAACAACAAAACTATCAACACCCTCAATAGACCAAAACAGCATCACAAACTCCCACCCCATCTCCTCCAGCCTGGCTTCAATCCTTTGGTTCAACAACAACAACAATAACAACAGCAACAACAACAGCAACAACAGCAACAACAACAACAACAACCGCAATCCTTTCCCCATGCCCACATCAACATCGCTAACCACCACAGCCACAAACAGCCACTACCACCAACGAAACGCCACCACAAACTTCTACTCCATCTCGTCGGGTCTGGCTTCAAATCCTCTCTACAACCTACTCTATGAAAATATTGCTTACTGCCTGGTAGCCTTCCTCCTACCTCTGGCCATCCTCACCTTCTTCAACCTCAAACTTATCTTAGCCCTTAAGAATGCCGAAAAGTTTAGGCCGAAGTATCCCAGATCTTTAAATAGGTCATTTCAGGGTGGTAGCAGTGGTGGTGGTGGTGGTGGTGGTGGTAGTGGTAAAAATAACAATAATACTAATAATACTTATAATAATAATAATAATAACAATAATAATAACAATAACAACAACAATAATAATAATAATAATAATAACTATAATATTAATAATAATAATGATGATAATAATAATAACAATAATAATGATAATGATAATGATAATAGTGGGT